AATTTAGCAATTTATTTCCAAACCATTTTGTAGAGCTTAAAAAAACAAATAATTTAGTATATTGAAGCGTTATCATGCGCCTAATGGTTACGGAGAAAATTCCAAAAAATTGTAAATTTAAAATTCCCATGTTATTCTTATGGAGAATGAGTAAACTGTTGTAGTTTGCTTGTTTATGAACATATTTTGATCAAATTTGGAAAATGTTTTTATTTCTTACTAACTATTAACATTTTACAAAAAAAACAGTTTTACCCTCCCTGATGCAGCAAACCTAAGTATTTGTTAAACTAATTCTATTTAAATCGGGAATAAATGCTATATTTTTAAGTAGACATTTCAGTGTAAATCCAATCAGTCAAATGGAAATTCGCTTAGTCTGTAGGTTTGCTGCGGCGGGGGTATTTATTCTACTGAGGACGGTTAGTGTTTAATGACCCAACAGCATTTTTAATTTTTAATCACGAACTTTAAAGTGATCAATGGGATATGCTTTTTCTAAAAAAATATGATCAATCCAAATTTTTTTAAAACCACGCATATAGTCTCATGGGCAATTTTTTTGAGCCGTCATAAGAGTCTTCATCAAATTAAATAATAAGTTATGTATATAATTCGAATAAATTATATTGTTTCCTCAAAATTCAAAATCAGAGTTTGTGCTAATTAACAGAACCTCTAACGCATCAGTAACACTGTAACTTAACATATGTCCTGTTAATCTAACCTTAATTTCCTTGTTTTAAAAAAATGCGTGTGAGTTTTGGAAAGCTCATTAAACATTCTTTTGTTAGCTGAACATTTTTTTTACATATCAACATAATTTTTGCCTTGTATGTCCACGCAGTATACAGGCATGTCATCGTATTAAACAGTTTTCAATTAAGTGATTAATTAAACAATAAGGCTAGTGAACTAGTGATGCGAAACATAGGCTAGGAGCATGTGTCCCATAGTACACTATGCACCACAACACTGACTTGGGGTGGGGGGAGCCGAATAGGGACGGCTCGTTTCTAAGCGCCTAGCGCAGCTTGAGTCGGCATTCCACTTGTTGTAGTTCTATGATTGTGGTCCACCCTCCCCTACAGTGCATATTTTTTAACTGCTACCATCTGTAGTGTATTCCAACTTAGGTTGGGTGTTTGTGTGTTAGTTGTAATGTGTTAACTTAGTTAAGTTTTTTTTCACCTGAGGACGGGATCAGGTTCCAGATCCCAAAACGTTGTGTATTGTGTTTCTACCATCGTGATGGAAAAATGTCAGCAATAAACCTTTGAACAATAACTTATTTGGCTTTATTACGTTTATACTAAATTTCTAGGTAAAAATGCTAAACTCAGTCAACACTCAAAAATTAATCAATTTTTTAATTTTAGCCTAATTTTTTGGTGGTGATTCCAAAAATGATAGTAATTGTTTGTGGAAAAGTCCCGATTTTGCGGAAAACACCTTTTTGCCTAATAGTCTTGTTGCAGGTACCGGTAGGCCTACTCAAATTGTGCGGAATGTCACGACAAATTCAACTGAATATTTCTTACTACCATTCCAGGGCTCCCCCACCACCACCTGACCCTCAAGATGTTCAATAGGCTACCAGCTGGTGATAATTGTGTGGATAATAATAGTTTCAAGACCAAAATTAAGTCCTGGCTCATTACTCATTGAAAGAGTTCTTTGACGACAACTTTAGTGACCTCGTCTACCCAACAAACCATTGACGCAATCAATCCAGCAACACTGGTCAAAGATTAAAAGACTAAGTGTCAAGTATCAAGTTAGTAAGTATCCGTCAATCTTCTTTTAATTTCCGGGCTGAAAACGGATATATCCAAACGAATTGATATACATTATTTATAATAGAAAAAAAACATTACACTGCATTATAATTGGGATATTTTGTTTTTGTGGTTGGCAATAATAACTGTCGCAGCTGTTTCAGCTACTAGGTGGCGTTCGCAGAGGTATCCACAAAATTGAGCGGAGTCATCAAGGGTTCATATTATATTGTTTTTGTCACACTGCAGTAAAAACAGTAGTTTTTAATGCATGCGTTGCGGGTCTAAAGTAGCATTTTTAATATTTAGGGAGTAAAAATCAGCTGTTGTCAACTCAGTAAATTTCGATTGTAAACGATTGCATGTATCAAAAATATGTATCGATTCGTGCTTCGTAATCATTTAAACCTACAGTCTACAGTCTCTTCCCATAGCATTTTAGGATCGAAGATACATTAATGTAAAAGCCAAAGACAGTTCCCACACTATGCACTGCTAGCCTTACTACTTCCTTCACCACTTCCTACGTCGTGGGGCCTGTTTCCTTCCCTTCTCATAGCATTTTAGGATTGAAGATACATTAATCTAACTGCCACAGACGGATCACACACTATGCTCATATACTTTACTACTTCCTAAGCCACTTCCTACGTCGTGAACATGTATTCATCACTTTCCATAGCATTTTAGTATTTTAGATACGTTAATCTAATTTCCCGAAACATTCCCACACTCCTTACTGCTAGCCTTTACTACTTCTTTCACCATTACCTATGTCGTGGGCATGCTTCCATCCCTTCTCATAGCATAGCATTTCAGCATTGCAGATACATTAAAACTGCTACAAACGGTTTCCAGTTCCCACACTCCACACTGCTCACCTTACTACTTCTTTCACCTCTTCCTACGTTGCGGACCTATTTCCCTCTCTTCCCATAGCCTTTTAAGATTGTAGATAACTTAATCTAATCGTCAAAAACAGATCCCACACTCCGAAAAACTTGCCTTGACTACTTCCTCCACTAATTCCTACGTCGTGGACCTGTTTTCCTTAAATTTGTTGATTCATTACCGTTAAATTTGTCATAGAATTACGCACATTTTAAGTACCCAAGAAGGATCTACCGATAAGGTTACTTTACGACGAAAACCCTGGTTTCTGCTATTCCGCTTTACAAACATTTGGAGGTTTTCCGATTATCAACCATTTGGCTTTTAAGTTACGTGAGGTTATTAGTAGGTACTTAGTCGGATCGTAACTTAATGAGAAATATACCAAATTAGTCAGGACATTCCACATTAATTGGAGTAACTAAGTAACAACATTACTTTTGGGCAAATAATAACTTACTTTTCCGCAAAAAAATAATAACTTAGGCCTATAATTTTTTAATTCAATGCAAAAAAATGATCTTAAAAAAATAATTTTTGTAGCATTTACTGGAGGTCAGCATTTTTGCCATTTTTTCTATTGTAATTGGCCTATCCCATTAAGTTAATGCGAGTTGATCATTGGAACTCAACGGTTTCAGATAAAGAGTAGGCCTAAATTTCCTTTGGTCCTAGGTCTAGAACAAAATGCTAAGTTAGGCCTAAGTTAGCAGGTTGGAGGCTTGGACTACCTCATAAACTAATAAAATGTAAGTTACCTTCGAGCAATGCTAAGTCCCTTTGAACTAAAACCCTAACTTAATCAGGAAAGGACCTGAGACCTCAGAGAAAAAAGGCTAGGCCTAGGCCTAGCGTATTATTTTTCCTATCCAAGTACCCTAATTTAAAAATGAAAAGGAATAGGCCTACCTAAATTATCTCTTCAAAATTAAATCCAGGATTCTAAAATCACGAAGATAGGCTATGAACCTAAAATAGGCTTAAGTTAACTAAAAATAGGCCTAAGTTAGCAGTTATGCAGCCTAAGACCTAAGTTAGTTTGCATCAAACCAATAGTGACAGCAGACAGGTCGGGTTGCGCATGTGTGCATAGATGGGATCTAGGGTCGCTAAAAATTTTTGAGGCTCTTGAATGAAACCACAAACTTAATCTGGCCTGTCCACATTGATTTTTTCTAGGCCTGGTAAGTTAAAATTTAAGATAAAGTAGCCTAGCCTAAGTTATATGTAAGTTACACATATATTTCACTGAATGTTAAACGCATCCAATATCTTTTATAAAAAGCACTATACTCAATTTTACAGAAACAATTCGTAAAACAATTTGCTTTGAAAAGGTAAGATTGCAATAGGCTAGACCTTGGCCCAGCCAGACTTAAACTAAGTTTAATTACATCATAATATTTTACAGTAGGCTATTGGCTATTAAATTACACCATTTTACGAGAGTTGAAAACATGCAAATCTATTTATTTACCTTTCTAACAACAACGTTTCCTTTATTTAACAAAAATAGGTAACTTAGTCAGACACTGAAAAATGATCATACATCATACGAAATCTTCAACAGAGCTCGAATAAAAGAGAATCAGAACGGAAATAAGAAACATGGCGGTAAACTCAAGTCAAGTCTAGAACAGAACAGTTCATCAATGGCGTTGTTTATAGAACACTCATTTGGTCGAACGAATGGATTAGGTAACCCTGGGTTGAATACAAATTCAAATTACTTATTTGGGCATTAAACATTACATAATAGGCTATGTCTATAGATAATTCAATTAAATAAAAATACAACCATCATCAGAAATTGGCCATGACCCCTGGAGTTAAAGGTGGCCGTGCTTAAACACATATTACAAGTTTTTAGTAGGTATACAATTTGTGAAAAATTACACTTGTCATTCTTAATCTTTTTTTGATACTGTGATCAAATAAACTGTAAATTGTGTTCTTATGTTTGTTTTGATTGATAACATTACAAAAAAAAACAATTTTGAACACTTTTTAATTCATGGGAAAATTTTACCTAGATTCCACAACCCTGTTTATTTATTTATTTCCCAACGGATTACACCATTTTACAATATATATATGTATACAATATGTAAACAGATGGTATTTACAATGATTTAGGATTAGACATATAAGTTAGATTTACAAAACTAAAAAAATAATAACAATAGTAATAACAAAGTAATGAGCTAAAAGAGTAATAAGAATAAATTAACACTGCAAGTTACAACGACAACAAAATTTGCAAGTAAGTATGCTGGGGTTTGATTTCTTAAGTGAGCAAGGAGACCTTCTTCTTGAATGGGAGGGGCTTTCTCACAGAAGAAAGTCCAGTTGAGCAGCCAACGTGCTACCAGCCTTGAGTAGACGGCAAATTCCGCTGTTGTAGGAATAGTAGGCTGGGAGAAAGCGTCTGCTGAAGATAGTCTTGGAGCGTGTGCCTCTAGGCGTAGTAATGTCGATACATTTCAGGATGTTGGGACAATCGATAAACCCGTTTACCAGCTTGTTGAGCAGAATTATGACGTCGGAGTAATAGAGGTAGAAGGTCGAAGGACTTCTCCACATCGTCAACCGGGGTGGTGTGGCAGGTAAACTACCCAGGTATGCCTGGGTATCAGTTGTTGCGAGCTGATCGTAACACAAATGTAGAATTTGAAGAAGATCAAGGAGGAAAGGCTTGAGTTTGGAAGGGGAAGCCTCTCGTACTTCGGCCCAAAGCTGTACAACGACCTCCCCTCTGGGCTAAAAAATATGCCTTTGCCATCTTTTAGAGCCAAAATTAAGGAATTGTACTGTTAAGATTAGTTGTTATTGAGATTTTCTTGTTTCTGTTTTATTATTGTTTCTATTTATTTGTTTGTTAGTTAGTTATTGTTACTTATAATATGACGAGAGTTTGTTCTGAAAAGCAGTTGTACTGAGAAAACGCTTGATCAATAAAGGTATTTTTATTTATTTACTAAACCCAAGTCTCGGTCAAGCATCCGTATGAAGCGGGTTTTAATGTTCTACAGTTGGTTGACATGGTTCTTCTGGAAAGGAGACCAGACGATATACCCATTCTCCAGCAGCGGGCGTACCAGGGACTTGTAGAGAGTGATCAAGGTTAAAGGTGAGTTTAAGTTCCTAGTCGATCTGAATATGAACCTGAGCAGAGAGCTTGCTTTGGCTGTAATGTGGGCTATATGCTCTTGAGGGTTGAGCGAAGGGGTCATTGTTGCTCCGAGATCGCGTACTTTCTCCAATCTCTCCAGTGTAGATCCATTGAGGACATAATCGTGTCGGACTGGAGCTGCACCACGTTTGTAGGAGACGACAACGCATTATTTCAAGACGTTAAGCTCCATAAAGTTCTCCTTGCACCATAGTCATCGATGTTAGTCAGAGAATGTTGGAGGCGTTCAAAGTCAGATGCCAATGACTCCGAGCCAAGCCAAACACCATCATCGGGAACCAAGAAAAACTTAGTAAGGATGACGCGGTGCAAATGCCATTTATGAACAGATTAAACAGCAAGGGACCAAGGTGGGACCCTTGCGAGACTTCTTTGAAATCTTTGAAAGATTGTTTTAAAGAATTTTTGCTAGAGGTACTTTCTAAATTTATATTAATATAGTTTCTAAGATTTAATGTGGTAAAATGGCGACCTTTTGATACCATGCGAACACTATAAGCCACGGCCACCTTTAACTCCAGGCCACGGCCTTCAAAGTGGCAACATCGCAAGTAGTTTTGTTAAAAAGCAAGCTTCATAAATTAAGTTAATAACTGGTGTTTTGTTTTGATGCAGGATAATGGTAATTTGTGTATTTTAGCGAATTTCCTTATAGGGAAGTAGCTATTACCGTGGGTCTCATGGTAAGACCTGGGCGCGGGACCAATTTACTTTTTCATTTTGATGTCCCCAGAGGTCAAAAACACTAATAGTTCAAATTCATATATATATACATATATTTATATATGTGTCCGTTAGCGCGATAACTCGAGCAAAAATGATCCGATTTCGATGAAATTTGGTACAAACGTGTAAACCTACGTTTATTCGAAAGAGTTCACGAACCAGCATGATCGGACAATGGGAACGGGGGTTTATAGGGGGGTTTTATAGAAAAAAACAAATTTTTCAATTTCTTTTTAAACCGTTTTGTAGGGCTAAAAAAATAAATAATTTATTATATTGAAGTGCCGTTTTATGCCTAACGGTCACGGAGAAAATTAAAAAATAGTGTAATATAAAATTCCCATGTTATTGTTATGGAGAAAATGAAAATTGTTGTAGTTTACTTGTTTATGGATATATATTGATAAAATTTGGCAAATTTATTTATTTCATCCTATACTATTGACGTATGGTCAAAAATACCTTTTACCTTCCCGTAGCAGCAAACCTAAGCACTCGTTTAAATCTAATGTTATTTAAATTGAGAATAAAAATATGTCTTATTCATGGGAAATATTTGAGCAACAATGTAATAAGACAAGTTGAAATTCGCTTAGTCTGCAGGTTTGCTGTGGCGGGGGTATTTAAGAATACGAAAGTTTGGTTACTGGGCTAAGCAAGTATTGACTCCACTTTAAATGTACAGAAATAGGTTGTCTAATTTATATTGTTTTGGTTTTCAATTCTATATGTTTGATTTTTATCTTTTAATAGATTTATGTTGATACATTTTAATTTTAATGGATAATACTCGAATTAATGAGCTGGTGTCACCTGTCTGGCAGTCTGCATGTTATCTTCTTATGCGACATCTGGCGCTAAACAAAACTACTGGTGACGTTGCCAATTCTACCAGGCCGCGGCCTGGGGCCCATTTCATAATAAACTACAAGTTACAAGTTACAACTTGTAACTTGTAATTTCCATAAGATTTGCATTGGGCGATCAGCTGATTTACTAATAATATTAGTTTGTACTTTATTATGAAATGGGCCCCTGGAGCTAATAAGGGTGGCCGTGCACTGAGCTATAGCTATACAGCTACTTAACTATTGCATGACTACAGTACTGTATTTGGTAACATTAGGCTGTCTGGTTATATGTTTATAATCTATTTTTC